AAATGAGCTATCCTCTAGAGCTGATCCCCGGGTCCATACAGCTTCTCCTGCGTGTTGAGGGATGAAGACCATAATGGTTCCCTCGATGCCTGCACAGAAACGTTTACTGATACAGTCGAAACTGTCTAAGACGGTCACTCATTGTCGAGGAGAAAAGAGGCGGTCTAGACAATGGTCGTCTTACACAGGGTCATTATTATGTAAACAAATCACACACAAAGGAAAAAATGAGAAGTGGCCATTTGTTTGTTTGTTTTAGTAGAAGTTTTACGGCGCTCGCAACCTCATAAGGTCTTATGAGCGCCAACTGGTAGATGTCAACAGAAAAGTCCTAACAGAGAATCAGACTTACTCTGCTCACCTCTCTAGCTTCAACAGCCCAAAGTCTGCTTCGACTATCAAGGCACCCCGGAAATAGCGGGTCACAAGAGTGTGACAAACATACAAACGGAGTAGAGGAAAATGACTATAGTAAGGATTAGGAAAGAAAAAGCAGCAGTTCCCTGTTGTAGTTCAGGCACAGTTATGAGCTTGACATTGTTGGATCAGCCCATTTACAATTCTACTGTGCATTAGAAAGAGAAATGTCCCCCTTTGGAAATGGCCTAAAGACACGTCAGTCAGGAGCACCCCCCCCCCCCCCCGGGGGGAAGTAGCCATTTGTTCAGATGGTTGTCTTATACAGGCGGCCGCCAGAGCAGGTTCGACTTTATGTAGAACACACTGAGCTGGAAAACAGTAGTTCAATTTCACCAGGCACTAATAATTAGTAAGATAAACCAACACTCAGACAAAGAATTAGAAGCACACCAAACGAGACATCGAATCTACGCTTACTGGTGAGAGTTTCCCCTATATTTCCATAATCATTGCGTAATACTGTTAGCTTCAATGCAAATTCATCCTGCATCAGAATCTTATTCCACCTTCTATCCCTGTCCCCTGTCTGTTTGGCTAAAGCCTGGCCCTGGGTCCTCATTATTAAATTCTTTGTTTCAATTATAGCTGTGAGAGGACCCTTGAGACTGGCCCTAGGCTTTAAAAGAAAGTTGGAAAAAATGTTGAAGCCAGAACACTATGCTGTAATGCTCTCATGGGGTGTGAGAAGGTGGGATGGGGATCGAGGAGGGGGTCTTTGCTTCAATCTGCAGCTATTTCGTTTCTTCCTAGGAATTTTGCACTATCTTGTTTTGTCTAGAGGGTGTTGCTCTATTTCATGTCGTCCTGAGGATTTTGCTCTATTTTATTTAAAATAAGTTTGTCCTGGGAATTTTGCTCTATCGTTCTCCATTTCACTTTGTCCCAAGAATCTTGCTCTTTCTTGCTCTATTTTGTTTTCTTTTAAAGATCTTGCCCTATCTTGATCTATCTCATGAGCTCATCTCCCCTATGAGCTATTTTTATCTTGCTTTATTCTGTTTTGGCCGCAGCATCTTGCTCTATCTTGCTCTATTTTACTTCGCTCCGATGATTCGGTTCTATTTTGCTCTATCTTGCTTTGTCCCGAGGATCTTGCTCTGTTTTGCCCAACATTTTTCTTCCTATGATCTTGTTCTACTTTGCCTTATCTTGTTTTCTCCCGAAGATCTTGCCCTATTTTGTTTCGTCCGGTAGATCTTGTTTTTATCTTACTTTTTTCTCTAAAATCTTGTTTCCTTTATGATTCTAAAAGTGTAAATGAAGGACTGGTGTGATGCTCAGGTTCCGTACTTTACAAGGCGCAATGTAGGTCATTTCGACGAAAAGTTTCTGGTTCCCATAACAGGGGAGCACCCCGTTGTGTCAGTTGGCATCATATTAGGACACGAGCAGAAATGGCTTCAGTTCGGGTCCCCAAATGAGGTACTGTTCTTGAGATCGGGTTGTTTAGGGCCATAATGCCATGGCTCTCTCTCCGTCCACTTGGCTAGGCCGTGTTGGAGACTGACGTTAATGAATAACCCCTTACATCTTTTGGGGCGTAATGCCCATCAAAAGATCGAAATGCAGCGAAAAACTTAAGGAAAGCTGTAAAAAAAATTCGACACCCACATAGATTTGAATCCTGAAGTTTCTGATGGTTAAGTTCGCAATCAGCTCTTCAGCGTTGTCAGGATTACAGCATGCAACAGCTGCAAAGATTGCAGAAAAATGTTTAAGAAAAGTAGCCACCTATGTATCTGGCCAAGACCAATTGCTTTGCCGATTTCAATACATACATCCTTAATTAGAAAGTGTGAAGGTGACACCGTACGAATATGATATGATGTACAAATGAAATATGGTTTTAGTAATGAATCCTCGCTAATCGGTGAGACTTTCCATATTATATTTTCAGTACTATCTCGCCATGTCTGTGGTACAACGGTTAAGTACTTTCCCGTAGCACGCAGAAAAGCGGAGTTCGAGTGAGGAAAACTTTAATCGATTGTCTCAGTCTGTCTGCTAGGACGTTGTATCCCTCTCAGACAGGGTTGGTCCTGACAGGCAGAGTCGAAGCCCACTTCATGAACTAAATTGTGTCAATGGGGAAGTTTAAAAAAATACACATGCATACAACTAGGATCAAACCTTTAAGAAAACTCAAATGTTCCTGCTTGTTCTCTCTATCATTTTCCCTATTCTGTGGCTCAACACCCGTCCTGGAGTCTTTATTATTGAATCCTTTGTTTCAATTAGAGCTGTGAGAGGGCCCCTGGGACCGGCAGCAGGCTGGAAGGAGGGACGAGGCACGGGGAAGAAGAAAAATGAGAGGATCAGGTGCTTGCGCGCGATTGGAGGGTGGGAAGGTCTTTGCTTTTCACCGCAACATTTCCTTTCGAATATTGTGAGTTTGTGTATTTTACAGAGAGTAGCAGAAAGGAGGCTGTTGCAGCCACAGTGCACGAGGTAAGGATCGTCTGTTCCCCTTAATTGAGGTCGTGCTCCAACCCATCGTGGTTTGAATTAAATCGAAGAAGGACCCTTGCTCATCTGACAAAACTATTCATTACTTTTGCGGACACGTTATTTCCTTTCCTGGGTCTGATTTTCATATTTTTGAGATTGTGCAAATAGTAGAAATTGGATTGGTGAAAGAGCGCTTACCAAAATGTTCACAGAAAACGAAGGGGTCGTCGTACTAAATGAATATATCAATAGTTCATCTGACTTTTAAAAGCACGTCAGTTAATATGATTACATGTAATGAACAATGATATTGATATCGATCTTATTGTTGAATCATTTAATGTGTATACAATAATCATATACAACGTCCATGATTAAGTTTAATTTCTTTATCTATGCATGTATGTATGTGTGTATGTATATGATTTTAATAGAATGGATGAAATGTATAACACCACACGTATAAAAAAGATAAAAAGAATTATAAACGACTCATCACACCACCTTTACACACAAATTGTAAGATCACGCAGCGGTAGAAATGTACCCCCAAAAACAAAGAAAGAAATATATAAAAGAAGTTTTTTACTATCTAGCATAAGGCTTTTGTCAGAATGAACATAGATGTTGCTCTTAAAGTATGTATCTATATATAACTCCAAAGGTCTTGCATTTAAATTCCTGCATGTGGTTGAATGATGCATTTGATGTGAATGTACATTTTGTCAGCTTTACTTCTCTTTTCATATTGAATTTTAATGAGAGTAAAATATAATTCAACTTTTTTTGTATACTTGCATGTGTTTTTACGGTCCTGTACAACCAAGAAAAATTTCCCTCTGGGATAATAAAGTATTATCTTATCTTATCTTATCTTATATTTATATAAAAATAGTGGATACACGAAAGTAATGTAATACGGTATGCCAGTTTAATAAATGTAATGATAAGATATGACTACCGGTGAGAGCTTTGAGATGTACATATTAATATCTATCTTTTATCTTAAACCTTACAAAACCGAACAAAACCCCCCAAAAAAAAGAAAAGAAAGGAACAATAGTAATGTAGATCGAGCAGAAAGAACTCGGCTTTAACCAGGAGACAGTTTACCACTTTTAATGTGATCTATATTACACTTCTTTTAAACTCAATGAATGAAAATAAAGTGTGTTGAAAGTACACTCTTTTATGATATAATATATGGTAGGAGTGATTAGACTTCTAGTTCCATGTGTTCAGATAATTGACCGACCCAGGGTAGGACTACACGGGCTTTGTAATTACGTGATGTCATATTATTTGCACTGTCTAATGAAGTTAAGAAAATAATATAGATCTATTGTGGGTCGTATCCCTTCTATATAAATTTACATGTATCAGTATCACTCGTAGGTATGTTTGTATATATAATATAATATAATA